AGCTCTTTCATGTGCCGCGCGGAAGAGTGGACACTGTGAAGCGAGGATTTCTTATTCGTCTTCCCCAGCACGTGAACTCGCTTGTCCACAGCAGCCCCGACGCCGATTTCTTTATGCCTAGCTGCAGGCTAAGGTCGGAGATAGCCAAATTTGCTGACGACCAGGGAACATACTTAGCCTAAGGTCACTGATATAGCTCCTCATGTAGCAACTAGCCGATACCGGTTTTATTCTCATTGTCATTGTCTACGCTCATTTCTCGTCTTTTTTGTCTTTTTATTTCATCCACTGTCATTCTTGCTTATACCTACACTCTTTTAGGATTTCAGGCTATTGCCTGTGCTGTTTACTTTTAAGGGATTTCTCATGTCAGTATACTTTTAGCCTCGCTCATTAGCCAGGCGCCTATACTTGTATATTCTCTTAGGCTTCTGCTCATGTCTTCTATATTCTTAGGCTGTTGCCTGTCGGTTTACTTTTAGGCTCTTGCCATCTTGTTAATTTATTTGGATTTTGATCAGTGTTATCACTCATATTTATTTCCATCCAGTGTGTGTGAGTGGTTGTTATTGTCAGTGTGCGACTGCATCCGTAAGTGGGGCTTTGCCTGTGGACGCTATGCCAATAAATAAACAAAAATAAACAAATAAACTTAGTGAAGCTGGGTTCATGTGCTGACCCTTGTTGACCTGACCTGTGACCGGACCTGGTATTATCAGTGACCTCTAATAGCAGCATATGTACTAGGCAACTGACGCCCTATCGCTGATTTTCGACAAATTCGTTTTGCTCGGTGTTATAGCGCATTCCCTAGAAGACCCGTGAACGGTAAAACATTTTATCTTTGACCTGACCTGTGACGTCATTGGTGACCCTGAGGTCAATGAGATTTAGGTTCCTTCGACAAATTTGACAGGGCTATCGAACGCCGTTTGAATTTTACGGATCCGTCCAGTAGTTTCGGAGATACGGGGGGGGGCAAAAAATGCCCCCCCCCCCCCCACCGCGCGGAAGGGTTTTAGGCCACTTATTTTTAGGCCTTGGACTTCAGCGAAAAAAACAAACAAAATGAAAACATTTGCGGAAAAGTGAGGCATTCCGTCTCAGCTGAGTGAAGAAACTGCCTTTTTGGCAACCTGGAATAAAGGTTTTAATCTGCCAAATGAGTTGCTGAGCGAATGAAAGTGTTGATTTTTTCTTAAATGCTTTCTTCCGTTGTGACCCCCAACCCCTAATTTGGGAAGGATATGCTGTCCCAACAGTTCCTGGCCCTATGAAAAGCTGTGGGGGCACCGCCCCCCCCCCCCCCCCGGCCCCAGAGTTATGGGAGCAAGCTGTTCCACTACCCCCCCCCCCCTGTTTCCCGCGCCTACATGCTGAATGCTTTTGCTACTGAAACCCGTGCCGATGGGTGTGCCCCCACAACTGGGTGTACCCACGATGGGTGTGCCCCTCAGCGTTCGCATGATGTTTGATTCCCTCGATATTTGTGTCGTTTTAGATTCAGAGTGTACCAAACTGCTAATGCGTCTTTGTCACATCACACAATTAGCCGTATTGTCTGGACGATGTGTCCTCGTCTTCTCGTTCTCGCGACATTATTGACGAGCCCTGCGTCCGGTGGTTGGGTGTAGGTAGACTGTGCCGCGAAGCCGCCGTGTCCTGCGGCGCAGTCTACCTTGTCGCTCGGTGTGGCAAGTCTAGCCGCGCCGTGGTGAGGGGTGGGTTGGGGCAATTTTAATGCTTTTCAGTTTTCAGAGTTTGGCACACCATGTCATGCACCTTTCCCGAACCTGTTGTAAAGCTTTCAGCTATAGGTTGCCCTAGGTTGGGTCATCAAGTCACGCAAGAAGCCTTATATTCAGATAGGTATAGTATAAAATATAAATGTTTGTGATAGTTAGCTACACCGACTGAATGATTACATTGAAGTGTTAGCGATGAATAAGGGCAACGAAATGGACACATAAAATGTAAATCTCTTTTACATATATTGTGTCTTTTATATTGTTATAGGGGAAAGTGGGGTAAGACGGTCAAGGTAGGTAAGACGGGCACCCCCTCTGCAGACCAAACCAATAGCGCTACGAGCGAGAAAAATTAGGACCAGAATAGCCTTTCCCACTACACACCGCCATTGAAGTCTGGTGAATTTGTGTTCGGTCAATAATCTTTTATTTTGATTTCTTTAAAACACTCATTTCATTGAAAACATTCATAATGTATTGTGCAAGCTTTTGTGTGCAGCACTATAGAGTTAAAAACTGGCAATCACTTGTGGCACACTCATATGCCTCCAGTGTTCATTCACCGCGGATTTGCTTTGTCTGCATCAAATTGTCCACAGAGAAAAATCGTGCTGAACTTCTGACATTGAGTTTGGGGTAAGACGGGCAACTATGAATCCGATGGGTCTGTAATGGTAAAAATATTTTTGTTGCTGTAGGAAAAAAGAAGCATTTCTGATAAGAATATGTTCGATTCCGATACTCACAGACATGTTAGCAATATTCCTTCGGCACAGTTTATTCTCGAATAATGAATGTGAAAAACGGCTCTACATGGCTTCTGAACTAGGGCCTATATACGAGTATACGCCTTCTGCACGAATCTCGTATACTGCCATTTCCGAAGCACTTGAGACCAACGAGCGACTGTATCAATGCGGCTAATCTCGGGCATTTGCTGCGAGCTGTGCTGGTCGGTGAAAGAAGCTGGCCGTCTTGCCCTACCCATGTGACCGTCTTACCCCATGGAGTGGGGTAAGATGGGTTTTTGCAAGGTTTTGCAAAAATAGCTGCAGTTTATTTGTTGAGTCAGGTCTAAGTCTCATCTTCTGGCAAATGGAAGTAAAATGTCTGTAAAAGGTTTTCACTCAGTTTCCCGTTTCTATGATGTTTCTAACCGGCCGAAAAATGGCTCCAAAGTTAAGGTGCCCGTCTTACCCCACTTTCCCCTAGGTGGTGTTCAAACACCCCTCTGCTTTTTAGTTGTTTTTTTTTTCGCTAAACTCTTAAAAGCGCCGTTTTTGGCACACCTTATCATGCACTTTTCTGCACATGTGAAGACTTCAGACCAAGGTCTCTCAAGGTCAGGTCACCAGGTCACGTCAAGTGACCTCGCTTAAACAATTTACAATGCTTGCCAAAGATACATAGAATCTTGGATCGCCTTGAATCTTTCAGCAATTCATGAGGGCAGTAGTAGGCATAAAATATTTGTTTCGGAATTTGTATGTCTGTGACATAAGGTCAGGCTAATTTTGCGCATTCTCCATTTTACAAATTATCAAGGGAAAATTGAAGGGCGCTTGTTTTGGACAAAGCTATTCTAAACACTCTCAAACACCGAGTTACAAGTAAACTTGACACACTAAACGGGAAAATGGCACCCGTGTTCCTTCCTTGTGTCCCTTAGGTCATCCCAGGTCACGAATGGTATCTTAACAATTTTTGGCTAATAACTTTACTTTCGATAGAGGTACGCTAGAGCAATGAAAACACTTAAAGGGTCTATCCCACCTTCTAAAATGTTGTTAAAACCAGTTAAATTGTGCCCGACTTCATAGATTGGATGACCAGGAACACGGTTCTGGCATTTATTTTTCATTAAACATCTTAGGCTTCCCATATTCCAAACACAAACTTTCAAATATGTGACGTCACAGCCCAAAATTACCTCCTTCCCCAGGCCACATTACTGTCATAAAGCTGATTCTTTTTACTCTGTAGGCACCACAACAAAGTGCAGACCAAGTTTTAAGCGATTTTTCAACGAACAAACCCATTTAAATAAGAATGACTAAACGAGGTGACGTCACACTAACGGTCGCTCCATGTTGAAGATAGGGCCTTGCACAAGGCCCATTTTCAAATGAAGGGAACGAATTTCTTCAACACCAAGAGGCCGCGGGGGTTGCAACCTAGATAGATAGTGGTTTCTGAACCTCGCCGCAAACTTGGCTATATCTCAACTCAAACCCCATGTTAAAGGTGGGACAGCTGTGTTCATCTCGACGATACGGATCGGCTGATATGAAACAGACCTTTTCCGAAACCTTGACCTAAGTTCAAATTTTCGAGTTACCCTCTGGAGGCTGAACCGTTCGCCTGAGGTCAAATCTGAGGACACAATTCAGAAAGAAGATTAAAGGGCTATCGAATGCGCTTTTCCGCGGCGCTGTATCTCTAATGGTCCCCGATCGCTGTTTCGGAAAATGTTGAAATAGGCAACCTTTTATTTACCTTTGATGACCTCTGGTGACCTGACCTTTGACCTGACCTAAGAGATGACAGAAGTGTTTTCGTCCTTATTTTGGACGCTCTTTCGAATGTCGCTCACCGCTTATCGCATTCGCTACGTGGCCCAGGAGCGGAGTTAGAGGGGGTGCATTCAAACGCCCCCCCCCCTTCAACCTCCAGCAGGGCGTGGAAATCCGGTACTCTCAGCGGGGCGCGGGTTAATGACCTGTTAGGACCAAACAGTTGAGCTGAGTTCAAATCTGGCGACATTGTAGCGAAAAAGATCTAAAAGAGCTATGAAATATGCAAGTGATTGCTGATTTTTTCAAGCTTTTGTGGGTGGGGGGTGGGGGTATGCGTACATACATCTTGAAATATGTGTACAAAATGTGAAAGAATGTAGGCTAGTGTCATTAAAGCTGCCTAAATTCGTTCAAAGTGAACTCTTCTGGATGCTGCCTGGTAATTCACAAACAGCTCTGCGCAAGAACCGGTCTAATCGTGTTCCTGCATTCCGCTGCCCCGTGTTTATCTGGTATCGCGGGCTAGCTGCGTGTGTCTTTAGGCGAGCGAGGCCGTACTATCCAGTCTGAACGTCTCCAGTGCCCGTGCATTGTCCGATCAGGCAGCTAGGTGTTTCCGAAGTTCAGCGGCTCGTCGATCGGTAACGCTGAGTTGTATGGTGATGCTTCCTCAGTTTGTGGTCGACCCGCTATATTCCCTTTGTGACCCAACAACATCAGTCCTGAAACGCCAATATCCCATTCCAGCCACGTTTATTAAAGTAAAAACTCTTATATAAGAATAGTAACAAGATGCACGACGATGTGTTATAGGTAACAGCGATGCATGCATGACATGATTATTCAATCGTATGAGCGATTGATTGGCTGAAGCGGTCTCCTTTGCGGCGCTGGGCGCCGGTCCTCCGCTGCAGGTACATGTAGTTAATGGCAGTCGCAGCGCCGCCGCGGGCGTCTACACTCCCGGTACATCGAACAACCGCGCCGTCCCCACCCGCTGCGACGACGGCGCCTATAAAAGATTGCCTACGTTCGTTGCGAGTGCAATGGCATGAGCGTGAAGCTGGCTGAGCAGCCTGGATGCTGGATGACTTGGCACTGGTTTTCACGGCGGCGACTCTTTGTACTGGCCGGCCGGCGGGCGTCAGCGCCGCGCCGCCGCCGGCCGCCTCGCCGGCCGGCCCATATCACACAGTGGTGGCCCACCGAGCCAGACACCCGAAATTTGGCCGCCGACTAGCCGCTGCCTGCCGAGCCGGCGCCTCGGGTCTGTGTGGCAGAGGCGCGGCCGGCGCCCCGGCCGGGCCGACCGCCCGGTCCCGGCCCCGAACTGGTGCCCGGGTCGCCGCCGGGACCCCCAGGACCCCGGCCCGCCCGCCGCGGCCGGCGTACGTGAACGCGGGCGTGCCGCTTCTTCTCGTCGGAGCGGGCGAACTTCTTGTTGCAGACCTCGCACTGGAAGGGCTTCTCCCCGGTGTGAGTGCGGATGTGTGTGGTCAGATGGTCCGAGCGCGAGAACGAGCGCAGGCAGATGCTGCACTGGAACGGCTTCTGACCCGTGTGGATGCGAATGTGTCGCGTCAGCTCGTCCGAGCGAGAGAACCGACTGCGACACGACTTGTCCGGACACGGGTAGGGTCGTTCTTCCAGCGGTGTCCGGCTGGGTCGCGGCGAGCCCCGGCGAGGCCGCACCGGCCGCAGCGGTAGGGATGACCCTGTCGCCGCTGATGACGACGGCGCCAGGCCGGAGGGGCCAGCAACGGGCGAGCTCAGGCCTGAGGGACCCGCTACGGGCGAGGTCAGGCCGGAGGGACCTGCCACAGGCGAGGTCAGACCGGAGGGGCCCGCTACAGCGGAGGTTAGACTTGAGACACCAGCAACGGGTGACGTCATACCTGACGGACCCGTAACGGGCGAGGTCAGACCTGACGGGCCGGTGACGGGCGAGCTCAGACCTGACGGACCCACTACGGGCGCGGTTAGCGCTGAGGAAGTTGATACGGTCGGAGGCATCGCTGAGGGCCCGGCCGCGACCAGCGTCGGGTCGAACTGGAGGACGGACGGCAGGACGGGCGGCTGCCAGCGGAGCAGGCCGGCCGCCGGCGCCGCGCTGGCCGGGTACGCCGGCGGCGGCCGGCTGTACACGCCGCTCGGGTCGAACAGCAGACCCGGCGGCTGGCACAGGCCCGGGTCGCGCCCGAACGGCGGCTGCGGCTGGAGCTGGTGATGGTGCTGCTGGTGTTGATGCGGATGCTGGTGGTGTTGATGCGGCTGCTGGAGGTGTGGTTGCTGAAGCTGCTGCTGCTGCTGCTGCTGCGGGGGTGGCTGGAATGTCTCCTGCTGGGCCGGCGGCTGACCGTAGGCGGAGAAGAAGGACGGGAACCAGGCGGCCAGTGTGGTGGTCACGGCCGGCTCGGCCTGCTGCGGCGGGCGCGCCGCCTGCTCGCCGCTCTCCTGCTCCTGCTCGGTCGGCTGCTGGGACGGAAACATGCCCAGCACGGCCGGCTGCTCGGCGGACGGCGACGGCGGCGCCGCCGCGCTGCTCAGGCTGTTGGGGTTGGTGGGCTGGGGGCCGGCGCGACTGGCCGGCAGGGCAGGGACGGCGCCGGCGGCGGCGCTGGTCGGTGCGGCGCTGCTGGAGGTGGACTCGCCCTCAGCGCTGCTCCGCAGATCGTCTCCAACTGCCGGCACAGGAGACACAGCGGGTCAGCGGGGGGCGCGGGCGGGCGGCTGGTGGCTGGACCCGCCTAACACCGGAAAGAGGATCACGTCTGCTCGAATCGTATCCTCGGGCTCTAACTTTGACTAAGATGAATCCATAGTATGATGCTCTGCCACCATGCCGTCCACAAGCTATTGACTGAAGAAAAAAACGGGAAGGGGGAAACGAGGTGCATGTGATTCATGGGAAATTCATGTGGTCATTTGAAAGGTCATTTTTTCATACCAATTTTTCATGTGCAAAAGGATGTCTCATGTCCGGTTAATCAAAATGTCCTAGGGAAACCCACGTCGAATGGATTTTAACAGATAAGTCACCTTCCTGTTGGGATTGTAAGGAACATTAGGTTTTAATGTTGTCATTTTTTAGATAGCTAGCATATTTGCTGTTGTATTGCCTTGCATCGAGTATTACGTCAACCCAACATAGCTTTTTGGCGTCACTATTTTTGGATCTCGGTGACGGTAACCGCCTCTCCCCTCAACACTCAAGAAAGCAGCTCCAGTCTCCAACTTTTCTCGTAGTTCGCGGCGTCGGCGTGCTCGAACGTCCGCCTTCATCCCCGTGGGGGAATCAGTGACGATTGGGAGCCGCCTCTACTAAAACTGTTTCACCGCGACCGAACGGGTTACGAGCCGGGTATTTTGGTCCGGGCGTCATCTGTTTACTCCACGTCATGCTAATTCGGTCGCTGGCTGTCCGCGCCGGCGTGACGCGCCGGCTGGCAACAGCGCGCGCGGAATGTTGCCCTTGGCGGGCGGCGCCGTGCTCCGCGCGCCAGGGCCGCTGCACTATCAATGCCAAGGGCTCCCGGCGGCGGCGGCGGCGGCGGCGGTGAGCGAACCGGTCGGGAGTGATCTCATACAGCGCCAATGGCAGGCCGCCGCCAGAGTGACCTCACTCGTCGCCAATCAGCCGCCAGTGCCATGACATCACATGTGACGTCAAACTGTGACGTCAAATGAGTGACGTTGCCGTTCGTAGCGCGGGCGAATTCGAGAAAGTAAAGGCGTGTTTTGGGGAGAGTGCGATGACGGGAAACCCGAAACGGGCCGGCTGGGGAAGCTCCATTCGGGAAATTGGAAGGCCTTAATCGGGTCGTTCCCGGGGAAGGCTTGGGTCCGGGAAGGAGGCGGTGGCTTACCGTCATTGGGGAAACAGTGAGGCCCCTACTGATTCAGCACACAGGACCTATGGGAGACCGAATAAGGCAACTACCTACTGGGACGACTCTCAATGGGATATCTCATAGAAAATCACACCACTTGGACCAATGTTAAAGAAGGCATTTGACAAGCACCAGTCAATGCATGCGCACTTCATCTTACACAAAGATTTGATTGAGATACCATCGTGCTATTCAGGACAACTGACCCGAAATGGGGAGGCTACTGACCCATCGTCAGGGGGCAGTGACCGACTCAACATTGGGAGGCTATTTGACCCACCGGGGGGGGGGGGATGACTGACGGTGACTGCGGCAGAGGGAGCTGACTAACCCACCGTGGAAAGGCTACTTGCCGTCACCTTGCGGAGGGTGGGGCTTGCTGACCGTGACCGTGGGAGATGGCTGACCGTGACGAGACCGGATGACCCACAGAACATGGGGAACAGGGACATTCCTCCGAAGATAGGGTGTTTGACCCACCATGGGAAGGTGACCTGACCCTAGGGCTCGGAAGCCTGGCCGACCTACCGTGGCGTGGATAGGATGTTTGACGTGTTTTAGGGAGTTTGGCTGGCCCAGGAGCCTGGCCGACCCACCTGGAGTGGGGAGAGGGTGTTTGACCCACCGTCGCCTGGGAAGGGCGTTTGACCCGAGGAGCCTGACGGACCCACAGGTGGCGTGGGGAGGGTGTTTGACCCCCTGGCGCGGCAGGGGCGTTGGACCCATCATAGGGAGTCTGGCTGACCTACCAAGGCCTGGGGAGGGTGTCTGACCTGCTATGGGGAGCTTAACTGACCTACGTGACCTGGGGAGCCTAACTGACCTACCGTGACCTGGGGAGTCTAACTGACCTACCGTGACCTGGGGAGTCTAACTGACCTGCCGTGACCTGGGGAGTCTAACTGACCTGCCGTGACCTGGGGAGTCTAACTGACCTACCGTGACCTGGGGGCCTAACTGACCTGGGGGAGGGCGTTTGACCCACCTGTCGTCACCGTGGGGAAGCTGAAGAAGTCGTCGCCGACGTCGACGCTGGTAGAGGGCGTGTCCAGGTAGCCGGGGCTGGGCGTCGTCGGCGCGTCGTCGAGGTGCCAGGGGCTGGTGGGCGGTGACAGCCGGCCTCTGCACAGCTGCTCCCAATCGAGGTGCACGTCGGCCAGGCTAGGCGTGGCGGCCACCTCCACGGCGTCCAGCATCATCTTGGGCGGGCTGGCGAGCGCACCTGCGGCACAGCAGAGACTGGACTCAGCGGCCGGAGTGGGCGGCAGCTGCAGCGCCGCCGCCGGCCGCCGTACTACGCTGGCCGTCGGCTTCATGAATGAGTCGCGTCAGAGTGGCCGCGCTGCCGGCCGGCCGACGCCGCCGGCCAATGGACGGGCACCTTCCTGCAATGTGACGTCATCACTTCCACTAAGCCCCTCCCTGCTTCCGGCGCTGAGCAATCCGGTCCCAGAACGGGGCCGAGTGACATCATAGATTGTATGATGTAATGAAGTTCACTGGCGCTCCGGAGCTCTGGCACGTGACTGGCACGGTGCGGGGTTTACCGCGGCCCGGCGGCGCGGCGGCGAACGGAAGCACACCGTGGCCGACAGTGCTGTTTGATGAGGGGCGCGCCGAATCTCCGGGACAGGGAGGCCGTGGGTCGGTGCCATGTGCCTAACTATCTGACCATTAAATTGGGCTATAGAGCGCTTACTAGTCATCAATTGTCTGCCACGTCATGATAATTTGACTTTTTTTTATTACACTCGTCAATTTAGCCAAAGCTATTTCATGTCCAATAGTAAATATGCCGATCAGTTATTCAAACTGGCAGAGCGGCTAAATAAGTTATACCTACAACAACGCAGGCTTGTAAAAACCGTGATCTTGTTTCCAATTTAATTTGCATGGTGCTCAGGACAGGTAGGTAAGATTTGTTCTTAATTTGCTGTTAAAGAATGCATGGGTATTTTCGTTCCCAGTAAGTTTTGAAATCAGCGTAGGTACCTTTCAAAGGTTTTTTATAGTTATCTTACCTATGTGTATTGTGTAGGTGTGCATTTTTATACTGAAGCCATTTCTAATTTGGGAAAGTTTGAGGACTCGTGTGTTTTTATCCTATAAGAAGTTTTCATGCATGAGCCTGTACGTACTAAATGAAAGGGAAAATAAACCTCGTCGTGTAGTTCACAGTTATAAACATAGGCTTTCCTACAATACAAAGCCACATCAGCTGGATAATATTTTCCCAGCTCTCCAGGATGTTTTGTTTTAGTTTTCGTCTGAGCCACTTGGTGTATTTGATTAGCCATCGTAAAGCCGCCTCTGCTATCATGAATCCTGTTATGAACTGTTTATATTCACTATGTGAGTCATTATCGTAGCGTATCCTGTATGTCGTTTGTAAACGTGCGCGGGTTTGTTATTTTAAAGTTGATGAAATTCGTCTTCCTGTAAGTGCCGCATAAGCAGACCGGTATTATCTGGTAACGATCATCATTGTTTATGCCGGTAAAGCGGATCTTACCGCTACCTCGTATGGTTTTTTTTTTTCAAGACATGTGCTATGTTGTATAAACATTTATCATGTTCTAACCGTCTCGTTCGCGCTGTCATAGTATGTCTGTCCCGCCGCACTTCAGGCTTTGAGTTCTTTGGCTCCTTCTTTGCCTCATTCATTCTGTTGTGGATCGTGTTCCGCGCCCGCGTTTTTGCCGTTCCTCTCCCATCTCCTGTCCTTCCACTACACGAAGGGGCGGAGTTTACGCTGTGCCACTACAGCCCACTGCGACCCAGTCGCGTGCCATCCGCCGTGTTACCATCCGGCGGCGGCAGTGGCGGGCCGACGCGCTGTCTCGGCGCGCTGTCTGGACCCGTGCCAGCCGGCCAGCTGAGGCGCCGTGACGACTCCAGAGCGGTGACTCAGGGGCCGTCGTCACCGACTGAGTCACGCCGGCCGCTACCCACTGTTGTCTGGGCCCGCCGCGCCTCCTGTGACGTGGCGGCCGCGACCTTTGCCGGCCCGCCGATCAGCGGGTCTGGAGCTGGGGTCGCGGTCGGCGCGCTGGCAGCCCGCTGGACGCGCGCTGGACGGAGCTATCGCGGCCCCATCGACCTTCCGGTTTGGTGCACCGAACAGCTGACGGCGTGTGAGACTCACTGGGATAGTACCGAGTTGTGGCGGCTACCTGGATGGGTGCACAGGTAGTGGCATGCGGCACGCGACGGTATTACCTAAATAAGTGCGGCACGAAAGGGTGCTACTGAAGAAGTGATATGACAAGAAGGCGTGGGCTGAGTTTGCGATCAGGGAAAATTATTGTGATGCACTTACTCAAGCTGTTCCGGCAACCTATGCCACTACTGTTGAGTTCATCATCCATGGAATTTCCAGAGGAGACCGAACGATCCGAAAGCCGCAACCGGTATTTGTATGATGTCTCCGGGTTTTCGCTAGGTAGCAGTGCATTTTCGTGAGACAATACGACATAATTTACTGTGTTCATTCGTCCACTAATGCACGAGTAGGTTGTTGTAAGAGCAATAATGAAACCAGTTGGGTGATAACTGATCAGTGAGGAGTGCTAATAAGATCTTTATTTTCAGATAAATTTAGTTCGAATGTTTTCAATAGACGTAGGTACTGACTTATCAAGAGTCTGTGCCACACAGAGCATAACAGACCTTGACCTTCTCCCTGTGAGGGTCAAATTACGGGTCTTCAAATATCTGGAGAATTTTAGAAGCCATGAACCCCCCCCCCCCCCCCCACCCCACCCACCGTCGGCCGTTACTATAGCTCCGAACGCGTGCATAGTTCTTACGTTTACTTTAAAAGTGCTGTTAAATTTATTTCGTCTCATGAGTATGCATGGTGTTTCTATTTCCATTATTCCTTTTACTCCTTTCATGTATTTTTATTTTATGCATGTTTGTATCTCGCTTAATATGGATCCACCATGTGAAATGGCCTGTAAATGAACGGAACGGAGCTGAAATGAACGGGTCTAAATAAATAGTTTTAAATTCAAAAAGAGTACCTTTACATTTGTGCACGATCAAATGATATAGGTACTTGAGCTAAATTTAAATAACAGTAAAGGAAATGAAAAGCCTAATAGTGACGTAAAAGTTTCAAACAAATTCTCGCAGCAAAGCGAGAATATAGAATTTACCAACATTTCCTTGAGTCTGCCAACATTTCCTTCCAAGTGAGATCAAGGTCAGTTCAAAATTTTGACTTATTAGCGATTATATTGTTGACTTCCTAGCCCAAACAGCGAAGAGGTATTATAGCAGATTTTATCCAGAACGCGTCCGAAGGTGACTTACTAAATGTAGCGCTGCGGACGTCTCACAACGTACAAAGTCAAGGGCAATTCAGGTCATATAAGGTCATGCTAATCGCGATTAAATTACAAAGCACGTTAATAAATAACTTCATAAAGATAAATTGATTTAAATATCCAATTATGATTTAGTTTTAGCTGAAGGAGCGGAGTTTGCGAAATGTATTCTTTTTTGTGTTTCTGTCATTTTAGGTCTCTTTGAACGCAAGCCACTAAGGTTGCAAACAATTGCAACAAAAAAATCATAGCAACGGGCCCGTTAGGTTGGAAATTAGAGCGAATCTGATTGACATTTTTTGTGAACTAAATGACATCCAAGCCGAGTCGGGCCTCTTTCTGAATTGCCCGCGAAGCTTAACAGCATTGAATCTCGATCTCGACAGTTCCATGCAAGATTGCTTTACTAATGGTTCCCTGAGCTTTGCTAATTATCCTGTGCGAGAGGATAAAATTTTAGGGATTAGAAAATGTTTTGAAATGATGTCTATGTGCAATGAAAACCCACCATGAGATTGTTTCAACCATAATTAGAAGACTAATATTTTAATGAATTTTGCTGTCTCAGTGGCAGAATCGCAATTTTTGGAGATGAAGCCTGAAGGGTCCAGGGAGAAATAGCCCCTCGCATCTGAGCCCCAATTTGATGTTTCAAAATAACGGTGTGCACATTCCTCTTTCAGTTACAGGTGGCATGGTTACAGATTGAGTGGTGGCCTCACAGGTTATACGACGCTTTAATCCGTTCTGACTAGAATCAAGTTCTTGTGGAAATCCCTCTGTACTGTTAAAAAAAAGTTGCTATGAAGTTAATCACAGCGGAAAAATAACATCTCAAAATGAGTGATATGAAATTCGAAAGTTCCTTTCATCTGACCTCTGGCAGGAACAATCACTGAAGTCATTTAGGTAGCGCCAATGACCCCGAATGACATGATTGTTGATAATGATGCCTTTTGTAAGATTTGTTTTATGCGTTAATTACGCAATGTGATAACCATTTCGATTGGATAATTTACGAAAGCTCTAGGGAATATGGCTGGTCTCTGAAAGCAAAGGATTATAAACACTGCATGACCTTATTGACCGTATGTGGTATTCGTAATTCACTGAAATAACAATGAGAATGGAAATAATGGTCACTTTTAACATGGGGTACCAATGTCAATCCTGTTGTAAACTTGTATATTGTCATCTGTACATTTGATTTAAATCAAAACCTGATTTAAATCAAATCACGTCTGTTTATGAAGCCCACACTTTGATTACCTTCTCTGACTTATTCTCTCCTGTGGCTTTCTTTACACAAATACAAATATTTACAAAGTTTATTGTAAGCTTAGCTATGAGTTAGGTACTTTGCTTTATTCTCCGGTTCGTGCTATAGTGGAAACGCCACATTCACGAGCTAGTGGGGCATATGTGGCCAGTAATGCAGCTGTATTGGTGACAAATTAAAAAAATTCGGTCGGTGTTCTCGCCTCTCTCAGCATAGGTATCAACATAGTCATAAAGTTTAAGGCGGCTAGAAAGTAAATAGCTTGAGTGTCCAGCAGTGGAATGATATGATACGAACCACCCGTGTACCACGTCTTTGTCCACAGACTTCAAACAGCGATTATTCGCCAAACCAGACTGCGTCCAATTAGCTTATAGCCCCACGGACCTCACCTGAACGGCCACCTGGACCATTCAGCGCAGCGCCAGTCTGTCCGAGATAGTCCGTCCATCAGTCCGTCCCTCGCCTAAGCAGATGACAAGGTTCCAGGGCCCCGCAGACCCAGATCCAAAAGCCCGTCCGTGACCTAGACAAATGGACCCACCATGCAGCTGGACCCACCATTCAGACCCGACCCACCGCGCCGGCCTGTTTCTCACATGAGTTATCTATCCCTCGGACATATGAGAGTCCAGGACCCACCAGACCATTTCCTACTGGAATCCTGAAGCGGAAACCATCATCCCCGGACCCACCAGCCCGTCTCTTACCTTCAAATCCCAAAGCCTCCAGCCGGTGAACTCGAATAACTCGAAGCCCAGGACCCACGGCCCCGGACCCGCTGTCATGAACCCACAACCCCGGACCCTCACCTGGACCCTTAGCCCCGGACCCACAGCCCCGAAAATGCAGTCACGGACTCACGACTCCTGCCTCTCACCTGGACCCGCTGTCCCAGGCCCACAGCCCCGGTCTATCACCCGGACTCTCGCCTGACCTGCAGCCCCGGACCCAAAGGCCCGGACCCGGCACCCGTCTCTCACCTGGACCCGCAGCTTCCCTAAACTAAAATCTCTCACCTGGACCAAAAACCCGGATCAATCTCTCACCCGGACCCGCAGTCCCGGGACCCACGGAGCTGTCTCTCACCTGGACCCGTCGGCGGAGCGGCCGAAGCTGTCCGGTCACCGCCGCCGCCCGTGTGGCTGCCGTTGCTGCTGCTGCTGCTAGATTCCAACAGTGGAAGTGTCGGGTCCATCACGCACTGACCGACACAGACAACCATGGTGTCCGCAGCATGCCAGCCGCGGGCACGGCCGGAATGAGCAGACCGGGTGTGGCGCCGCTCGGGGACGGGACCCTCACCGGCCACCTGTGAGTCCGCGGCCTCGGGCGCTCAGCGGCGGCCGACGCGGCACCACGTGCGCGGGGTCATAGCGCGCCGTCGGCCGGGCTTCCTCTCGCACGGTCGGTCGGCTACTGGCCGCCGCCGCCGGTCACGGCGGCTACTATAGCCCAGCGCCGCCGCCGTCGGCCGGCTCGGCGATTCACAAAATTGGACCGAGGCCCGCCACCGGTGCGGCCGTCCATTGGTCGCCGCCGGGGTGACGTCACTGACCGGCGCGTGGAGAGTTGGCTGGTGAAACGGTGCGGTCGGGAACCGTCGGAGTGCCGGGGTCCATGGCACGGGCTCGCCGGGGGGGGGGGGGGGCACCTCACGCACTAGAACACGTGCAGGGAGAGGCTGAGGTCAGAGCGGAGCGGACCCTGCTGGCTGCTCTCCCTACCTGTCTCTCCCAGTCCCCAGATCCAGCAGGTGGTTCGCCCACTGCCGCTGATTCGTTCGATCGCCCACCCACCGTGTGAGTACGGTTGGGCGGCGACGGTCGACAGCCCGCTAAGGTCGTCCCGTCCAGCCTGGATGCCATGTAGGGCAATGCTCAGCTCGGGCAAGGTGTGCCTGGTCAGCCGTCTCCCCCGGCGCGAGGGTTGCGGCAATTGCGGCACCGATCATCGTCGCCGGAGATCGCCAAATCGGGACCGGCACAGAGCGCAGCCCGTGATTAACGCGGCAGGAGGAGGACACTCAATGCCGGACACGCCTAATGAAGTCAGCCACGCAGCGGCCGCTCCTCGCGCACTCGTGGGTCTGACCAGACCTCAATATGATACGGGGCACGGAACTACCCAATGAAATGCACTCGAGGGCCGAGACTTGAGGGAGTGCGCCAGATGATGTGATTGCTGCTTTTAAGACAGCGAAACTATCTATCGATAATTCCGTTTCATCAGAGCAGTACTTATTCACAAGCCCATTTAATGTAGGTATGTATATGGTGTGTAGCTATGGTGTGCAACTGCACAATATAAATGCCTGTACCTGTATTTGGCTGTAACTGGATCTGGAGCTGAGGCATTGAACGATGTGTTCCTTCTGGTGACGATTCTGATTATTTAGAGCGTCATGAGTTTTGACTGCGTCCATAATGCCGTTTTGACTGTGATTGCTGAGGCCGGAGATGGTTAATTGAAAGTCGATCTGAATTGCCTCATCCACATGTTACGCTGCATCAGAGACTTAGTCGAGAAGAAGACCACGGGTAATGACTTTGTGAGAAAGGCTCTGCAGTCTGCATGCTTGAAAGTATTGGTGATATTTTCTTACTTTTAATATGTACGTCTCAAAATTACCCCACATTTTGGTAGACCTGCTATAGGTAGCCGCTTGCAGTGCAATTATCTTTTTGGTTGAGGTACCATGCTGCACAAAGATTTGAGCTTGAAATGAATATTGATAACGCTCTATTGAATAAATAATGTGAAAGTGCTTGTCCCTTCATGAGCCGTCCGTGTTTTTCGGTCCGTGATTTAGGTCTGTTAGGCTAACATCCCCTTCTCGCTGGCTTTGAACCACTGTAAGCATGCATGCTGTTCTTCTCTTTTGCCTTCGTGAGTACCGCCATGAACCGTGTGTTTGACTTACTTTTGACTTGTTTGACTTGTATGCTGATGTGCTGATAAGTGCCTATAACTCGCTTAGTTATAACTTATAATAGGCTGGAGACTTCCAGTTTGCGGTTAACTCGCGTTTATTTTGGTGGCTAACTTCCTTACACGCGTGTAGCTGCCCACCAACTTTTACCCGGGGACTTCCATCCGCGGTTAACTGGCGGGTAGCTACACGCGTGTAAATATTTAAATGCCGACTTACACGCCAGTTTAAAGGGCTTCCCGATCAGCTGATCGAGATGCGGCGATCAGCTGGTCCAATGAACAAGTGCTTAATTCCGTTATTTATGGGACCGGTGACCCCCAATCAGCGTTTTTACACATGCAATGAGTATAGTCGACTACAGAATGATGTTCCACTTTTCACAGGCAATTATTTGCCTGGATTGGTAGGCTGTGCCGCATCACACGGGCTGAGTTCACCAATTATAACAGGCTGTAACAATGTTCTTCCAAGACCGTTTTCGTTCTTTATTAGTCCTTCCATCGTGTGGCTTATTTTCGATGACTTTTACTTCAGTCTTCATTACATCGGCTAACAAAGGTCTGTCCCTGCTACTGAAATTTCTGCTCCTCTTCTTCCTGTCCATGGCTGTTGACCGGACACTCGTATTGCTTCCACTGAGCTGGTCCTCGCCCCACTGACACGTAACGCGAAGTGCGACGACCGGGGCCCGACACTGGCCGGCTGGCTCGACGATCACATTTCGGAGGCGATACGAATCACTATCCCGAAGATTGCGAAATAGCAGCTGGTGGCAAGGAGATAGGTGCGATGGAACTAGACTAATGCCTCCGTATTTGAAAATTTGAGTCCTACATCTTAAATTCTGTCAACTCAAATATTAAGGTCGTTCTCCACGGTACATGTTTTGCGCGTTTTTAATGACGTTTTAACGCTTTTTTGATGTTTTGCGAGTTTTTCATGATCCGGCGTTGATCTGTACCATTAAATTACACGGTGCCATCTCCACGGCGGAAGATTTGTCAAAAATCGAAAAACGCGTGGCTTCATAAAATCAAAAAACTGCAAAACTCGTAAAACGCGTCAGGTTGTGTCATGCAAAACTCGTAAAACCTTTAAAAAACGCAAAACTCTCATTTGTAAAACGCGTGATTTTATCCAAACATTTGGATCGAATGAAAGTTTTCCGGTTTTTGACAAGGCTAAGAAGGTAATCCTTCTGCTATTAATACCATTTTACGGTGAAATGGATGCAATGGAAAGTGTGGAAAGCGATGAAACGCAATTTGATTAAGCCAATTATCATGGCAAGTACTCAGACAACCATACCAATAACTTCTGTTGCTATTCCGACGATGTGGATGTCAAATAATTACATAGTGAGTCTATGGAGAACAGATATTACGATATCAGATCATTTCAGATAATTGATAAGTAACTGATGTCATAGCGGTGATAGCAATAGGGCAACGTGATGATACCCCTATAACTATCTTTACAGCTAAAATCGAGGGGTTAATAGAAGCCGTGCGCCAGATACCTGCCCTGTGGGACAAGAGGGCCACGGCATACAGCGCACGAAGGGCGGAGAAAGATGTTCTTTCTCTGAAATTGAAATTGTTCTGAAATTGTAATTGTTATGAAAGACTGACACACTAAAACCGTAAAAAGCGAAAAACTCGCAAAACTCGCAAAAGCGTCTGTTAAAAAGCGAAAAAGCGCAAAACTCTCGTTTGCTAAAACGCGTAAAAACCGAAAATGTTTACACGTGGAGACAGTACTTTACTCTCATTTCTCATGTATGACTTGTCGAAAACATCTGGATACTTGCAGTGATGAAATACGTACCTAATTGGTATCCCTCAACAAGTACAGGTACTATGAAAAGGTGACCTCAAATTCGTCTAATCTTAGCAGCCGAACGGCTAGGCCGAACTGGCTGCAAAAGCCAGAACTAGATAATTGCACTATTGTCTATCACTTGAACATAAAATTTGCACAGAAATAAACTTTCAAAACCACCTAAGGACCAAAAAACGCACCACCGAAAAGATACCCGCGAACTTAATACATGGGGTGGCTCGCGTGTAAGTTCGTTCGCTAACTTAGCGAACAAACTATTTACCCGCAGATGGAAGTCTCCGGGCAAAGTTACCCGCCGACTTAAACGCGAGATAAACGCGAACTTACCCGCAAACCACTTAAACGCGACTTACCCGCGTGTGGAAGTCTCCAGCCATAAGGTGTTATCTATTAACTCGGTGCGAGAGGTCTCTCGTGCTTAAGTTAACGTTACCATTCATAACTAAGCTTATCTACTCAATTAGCAGTCCATAGCTCATGACTGTTGCAGTTAACCCTGTGAAAAGCATAAAGGCTCTCTTGTGTGCGGTCCTACTGCCCATATTTACTATTCAATTACTCCGTTGATCCAGTTTCATAAGTATTATGTAATAGTGTACTACAACACAAACACTATTAGCCTCTTAAATGAGTCAGAACTGGCAATCTGAGTCATTAGCAAAGACTGTTAATACGGTGCGATAAGCTGATACTCAGTAGCTCGAATTATTCGCTCATGGAACAAACGCTTGAAGCTGCTCCATTCCAGAGCCATCGACAGTTCCGTATTCAAGGTCAAATACAGCACGATATTCCGCGGAGAAATTAACCAGTTTCCGGCGCACTATGGGAAGTCTGTTTCCGGCCTGGAATTCGCCGTCCGCAACAGAACGCCATCGTGTGACGTCACACCAGGATGTATGACGTCAGATCCTGACCGTTCACCGGCGCCGCGGAATAGCGTGTCCGGCGTGGAGCGACGACCTTGTACTTCCCGTTCGGTGCAGGCGACGTTCACAGACCTTGACCGTGGTCACTGCGATAGATCGTAATCAGAACTTCACTCTGGAAACTATGGCTCGTTTTGAGTCGGAGTTGACCGAAAATTCCTGTTTGAATAGCGACAAAGTTGAATCATTCAAAGTCGCTGAGTCAACGAGAGTCACAGGCGGCCGAGTCAGTGAGTCAACCACAGTCGCCTTGCAATGACTCAGGCTGATAATTCCTGGTATGATCGCTGGCGGGCGACATTTGATTGACGAAAATGTTTACAGACATTTGATTGACGAATGTGTTGACTGACACAGCGTATAGGTGCGCCGGCCCGCGCCGGCCCGGCCATGGAGGCCGAGAGACGCTTATCACCATAGCGAGCATACCGTGTAAGTCATCCACCGTACCATGGGAGGGGAGTGTTCCGGACACGGCCAACGTGAGTGCACTAATGAAAGGAGTTTAGGAAAGTCAAACCTACGTAAAGGTAGTGTTAGCGAGCAAATAGGCATTTTTGATATCTTCGCAAAGACGCCCGGCGCTCGGAGCGCGGCGGTCGGTCCGCCGCGCCACGCCGCTCACATATGTGTCATCTGGCCTCTGTCCTGGTTCTCATGCCCACGTGTTGTGCGTACCACGAGGGCTGA